AATCTAACGATAAGTCGGAAAGCGACGACGATCCGATGCGGCGTCGGTGACGACGGCGACGGATGACACTACCGGCAGGCAGGCCGGTCGACCGAAGATAAAGCACCACCGGTCCGAGTTCCTCTGCTGCCCGCCGCCGTGCGCGTCGTCATCTACGGGACAAAAGGAGCCGTCGTCGCGGGAGTTCGATCGGAACTGCCGGGATCCTGCAGGGCGACCCACTTTGTATATGGTCCGGTTCGCTTCGCTGAAAAAATAAACCGAAATACTGTTTTGTTTTGATTAATTTATCGTGAGAAAAAAATACAGTTCTGGCTAAGAAAAAAGTTAAAAAATATGAATTATAAGACAAGCGAACAGGACCTACATAAGTATGATGTATGTAGTACTCCGGAGTAGTATGTAGCCAAACGCCCCTAAAAAAATGGCAAATTCGGCCTTCAGCTCAGCCAATATATAGAACACTCGAAATCGTTCTGGTTTTTTACTACTAGCTAGCTAGGGTGACGTGTGCGCGCATCCTACAACACGTCTACATATAAACCACTAGACTTGTGTAGATTGAAAATACACTGTAATTGCTCAAAGACATTTAAAAAGCTAATCTTTGGTCGATGTCAGTGCCACTACAAATTCGTGTATATTTGTTGTTTAAACATGATTTACCGTCCAACAAATATTAAAAAATTAATTTTTGCTAAAAGAAACTAAATTGTCCTCTGGCAACTATACATAATTTCTAGTCTCTTTCACTGTCGGCGATATTTTTTCCCATTGTCATTTAGAAAATAGCACGCCTTTAATTTGTACCATGTAAAAGATACGTAGAATGGAGTGATGATGACATGTTAGGTTACTGTTGATGCATTATAACGTGCTATGTTTGTATATCCTGAGCAAATCTGCTGTAATCAAGGTACTCCCTTATTTATTTTGGGACGAATGTAGTTGGCTATATATTAATATATTAAGATAGATAAGTGTTAGAAAATTATAGGCAAACTTGTGGCCGGTTCCTCTCTCTAATTTGTTCATATTATAACACACTCCTACTATTCTAAATTGGATGACGTTTGTAGCTTTTATAGGTACATAGCTTCTGCTATGCACTTAGGTATATACTATGTTCTAGATGTATAGTAAAAGCAATGTATCTACAAGAGTCAAAACATCTTTCAATTTAGAATGGGGGAGTATTATTGATATACACATACTTTGTTATTTTTCACCAGGTTGTATAAACTTTAGTTATCATTTACTTACTCTATATACATTTTCAATCCATATTCATAGTTTTCTCCTTTGCATCGTACCTCCATATATGTGTAGCATGTGTTTAATTGAAATCTTAATTTAGTTATATGTTTTCATGGAAATGGATATGATCGGTTCTAGGGATAGAAATGGAGTGGATAAAGGCAGAGAGTAGCCCACCAAAATCCGACTAAGCCCCAAACCCTTTTTCACTTGGAATTCCCGATTTACATAAGTTTTAAACTCCTAGGAAAGGCCAAATAACAATAGGGAAAGTAAACTCCCTAGGAAAACTTTCAACAGGAAAGGATTTGTGCCCTATGGTTCTTCAATGAAATTCCTAGGAAAAATTTCTCACATGGCTTGATAGCTCACCAATACCCGATAATACCTCATCAACCTAACTCTGGCTCATTTGGCCACCCTCATGTCTGTCTCCTTTGACCAGCACTAGCAGTGATTGGACAAGTTGCATGGATTGGAAACACCAATTGCCAATCCAAAATACGAGAGGCAACAAATCACGAGTCATGATTGGTAGAGTATATGTTACTTACTAGGAATTAGTTTGACACCGTTGGAGGAGTCAGAGGTTACATGAGCCTTAGGGCTAGGAGGGTGTCGACTATGGCAAGATTGAGCTCACTAGTGCCACCCACGTTCAGCCACTTTGCTATTCCTGTTGTTTGTCCTCTACAAGGGCTCACCAGCGAAATCTAGAGACTTCGATCTCGATCTAGACTAGTTTGATGTATTGATGAACTATGGTTGTTAGTCGTCACTGTGAACACATTTTATATCTCATATTCTCTTAATATTTGTATGAAATGGGAGTTCACTATTTTCTTTTAACGCAAATGGCACGAGTTATGCCTTCTGCTTAAGCAAGGAAAAAGTGAGGTTATGTAGAAAGAGTCATCACTATTGATTATGCACAATAATCAACACATCCTACAATAGTCATCACTATTAATATGTACTTGAACTTGTAGACTTTTACATAATCCAGAAATTATTTCAATTGGAATATTAAAAGGTCGGCTACTTATTGGCTTAGAAATAAAAATTGTAAAACTACAACTGGTCTATATTTATTGGGACATCAAATGCTACTAAAAAATTTGTTTGGTCAAGGTAACCTAGTAAACATACTCCTAAAACTAGTTAGTTCAGTTATTCCTGATCCACATAGAATCCAACTGACCTCCTGTGTGGGCCCCACGGAGGTTCTTTCTTTGGTCATCCTATTCAGCTCTTCCTTCAAATAGGAGGCTTTTAAGCTTTGACCTCGGTTGTCTAGTTAACCTAATCAGCATTCCCACTAGCACTAAGACTACTGATAGAGGCACCGGTATAGATATTTAATAATTGTGCTTGTTAGTTCGAAGGGGCCAGTTTTTTTTTTTTTTTTGGTTCCAAGGTCAAAAAAAATTCAGCTTCCTACGCCACTGTGAACGCAAGGAGGAAAGATGCAAAAGGTGAAGCCGAAAGCAACACGGCAGAATCGTTCTCGCCCCCTCTTTGTGCCTGCGGTTCTCTTTGATGCGCAACCCCTCTGTCTTTTCAGAAATTGCATGGATGGTACTGAAATTATACAACGTTATTAGAAAATTCTGCCGTGGGATTTAGGCCATATTGAGTAAGGTACGCTCTGTCTTTTCAGAAACCGCGTAATACTTTGAACAGTTTTTCATTTCAGTGTGTCGTCGTTGAACCATTTCTATGCATTCGATTCTGTAGCGTGTTCTTCAGAAATTTTATGCATCGTCGTGGGAATCACAAACACCCTGAGGTCGATTCTGCAAAACTGCACCGGTCTACAACTTTGTCCGTTATCCCTGCCCCGGTGCCCCCGGCTCCTCCTGTCCTGCCAACTTCCACACACACACACAAACGCGGCTTTGAAGGAAGGAAGCTGCAGCGGCAGAAAGGAAGGAGAGAAAGATGGTAACTGAAAAAGAAATCCTAAACAAGAGAAGAGCAGAAACTGAATGAAACAAATCCATGGGATTTGGAGCGATAATAGTTGTTCAAACCCTTTTCTATTCTTTGTCTCCGTCGTCATCGATCGCTTGCCTGCTTTAACATTCGTTCCTTGGCCTGGGGGGATTTGGTGTGAGCCAGCAGCAGCGAGCGAGCGTGCGTGCATGCCTGCAGACAGCGGCAGCCTGCCGGTGCCGGCCGGGTGCAGCGCATCGCATCGGACCAGTTCCTCCATGGACAAGGAAAGCATGCCGCTTTATTAGATTTCAGACAGACTCCCTTGCTTGCTTCCGTGTTTCGTCCGTGTCCACGTCGATCGCCTCCTCCTCCTTTTGCTGCTCACTCATCGTCATCACCGAGTATATAAGCGCACACACAGAGGCATGCGTGGTGTTAGTGCCTTGGAAAGGGAAGCCATCTCAGGTGCCCGCGTTTGACACGGCGAGAGACGGAGAGGTGGCCTTGTTGGACTTCGTTCTAGAGAAGAGAAGGGTCGGAGGTGGTTTCAACTGTATGATGCGTGACTAGGAAGGGGAGGCCACGTTTGGGAGTTTGGAGTAAATGGTGAGAGGGACTTGAGCAGGAGGAGGAAGGTGGTAGCTGGGAGCCTGGGAGACAGCGCGCGGCGGCCTCTGGGCGCTCTGCTGCAATTCTCAGTCTTCTGCGACGGCTACAAGAGCAGAGGAGCTGCGTTTGCATGGGAGCAGGCGAGAATTCTGCACCAGGTGAGTTTCAGAGCTTGCGATTCCATGTATTCCTGCTCAGGCTTCGCATTTAGAATTCGTGGTGCCCTGTTCTCCTGTTCGAGCCTGCTAGCTTCTTTCTCTTTTTTTTGTGAAGCGTGTATTTGGAGAATACGTTTTCCTTGTCCGTCTTGCTTGCTAGTAGAAATTTCGGGGTTTTCTGTTGATTTGAGTAGTTGCGACCCGGCCAAAGAAAGCTTATTTTCCGTTTCTGAAGTAATAAGAACTGAATTGCCCTGCCTGTGATCATTTCACATTTCGAGACCGTGCATCTTCTCTCGCTCTGTTTTCAATTTTTCGTTCATGGCTTCCTACTTCTCTGAAGGGGGATTTTAATTTTACGATTGACTACGACAGGAAATTTGATAAATCCAGTGCGTGTTGACACTGCACTTTGTTCCCATTTTTCTCCTAGTGTTAAAGTAAAGGCTAGATATTGATAGTTTGCTGCTGGTGTCTAAATATCTGTAATGCCATTCTGAATTTCAAACTTTCACATGTCAGTAGTCATCCATATGTCTGGAATTCAGTTTTTCCTTGAAATTCCTTCAGTCTTCTTGGTGTGAAAATAGCACTGCCAATCTCACCGTATTCAACGGAGTAACATTCCCGCCATGACTGTTGTTTGACTCGCACCTGTTAAAGTTAGGCACGGAAGCAAATTCAGCAGCCCACAACGTGACAGGAAGTCAGGTCATCTTCCAACAAGTCAGTCTGAAATCTGTGTCCAACGACGCCACATTAGAAATTAGAATTTATTACGTTCTGATCACTTAGGCAGGACTGGAGGAGCAGTCATGTATGCTCGGCCTAACCAAATTGAACTGTACAGTGCCATGGTTTATCTGTATCAGTGTGCCAGTAACTGCAAATAGAGCTTACGCCTTCGCGCATGCAAAAAAACTTACTTCTTTGCAGATCTATTGCATCGTGTCTTTTGGTTTTTCCGCTCGGTCTTCATATATCTGAATCGAGATCGGAGTGTAATTCTTGGAGCTTTTCTGATGGCAGCTTGCTAGCATGGAACCGAGGAGGTTAGAGCGGTTAGTGTTCCTGCTCTGCTGCATTGCGGCAATCACATGCAGGCTACACGCACAAGCTCAGGCCCAAACAACTCTGCAACACACCAAAAGCTCAACTCACACTGGAGCAGGTGACTAACTCCTCATTTGTATCATATCATAGATAAACCTCGCAAAATCTATCGCAAGCGGTAACATGCAAGATAGGTTTACTTAGAATAAAAATATTTCAAGAGGTTAACTGTTCTACTAGTTGACATTGTGCTTATCTGTACTGCATTATTCTTTCATGTTGTTTGTACAGTTCTATTTGACATTTTTCTTGTCGGAAGTATATGTGAATATGGTACCTTATCTTTGTTGCTTGGGTGATCAGTGGGTAGGAATTTGTCAGAGTTGGGAAACAGATCAGAGAGTGTGCTCTCAAGAAGAACGAGGAGAGTTGATCCTCTTGAAGGACTGAGGAAATATGAGGGAGGGTACAACATCACTGACAAGCACTACTGGAGTGTAAGCTCTCTGTGCTTCTCTAAACTCTGAACATACCATTTTCTCTGAACTCTGAACATACTATGCAGCCTTTTAGATACTGAGCGTATTATAATACGAAATATGTATTAAAAACATAATCATAGTACTTTTCTTCAATGTGCAAAAATCACTTTGTATATTGATAGACATAACATTAAATCCATGCCAGGATTAAAACTGATCATTGTCTTGTTTACTTTTCCAGTCGGCCATATTTACAGGTAGATCTGGATATGTGATGTCAGGATTATGGATTATCGGTGGCATCATTTTTGTTGTAGTTCTTCTCGTCTCCAAGATTTTCTTCCCAAAAAAGAAAGAAAGATACACTGACTTCGACTATTTCCTTGAGAGATATCAAATTTTGACTGTGATACTCTGTATCCTCCTTACAGTTTTCGTCATGTAAGCTGCGGTGTTACACCAAGAATAAATTAAATTTCAGCTGTATAATTGTTGCTCTTCTGCAAACATATGAAGCAATGCAGTTATTAATCTACTCTGGCATTTTATTTGCAGAGTTTCTTCAGCAGTTGCGCTTCGTGGCACGGTACAATTCCACTCAAGAGCAGAATCTGTGAAAGAGATAATCGGGACGACTGCACTTGAGGCTACAGCAACAATTTACAACATAACAGGTGCCATTGAGAAGATGCAGAACACATCAAAGCTGTACAACTACACCAGCCAAGCTTGGGATCATCTGAACTCCACAGTTGAGGCGCTCAACTCCGAAGCCGTGGAGATTCAGGCGAAGGCAGAGAAGAACATGCGCTTGGTTAGCAAGGGAATCAGGATTCTGTAAGAGCTTTTCACATCATAACTAGATCAGTAGAGTGATGCTCCTTATGGTACTTCTTAATCAGCACTGGAACTAAGACATAATGATTTTCAGGGAACTTGTGACAATTTTATGTGTGACGCTGAATCTTGTCGCACTACTGGTGTTGCTGGGTAAGTGAATATGATGCAATATTTTTCAGTATGCAACATTTACCTTGCAGTCTTGCTAGTATAGCTGAATCTAACACAACTGCTTCTCTGAAAATTGCAGTAGGGAGGCCTCTAAGGCTGCAAAAGCTGTGTTGCTTGTGAGTATCTTACCTTCAGATTTCAGAAAACCCATCTGAAGATACAAACTGAAACCTTGTGTCCTCTCAGTCCTTTATGTCATTCTGATTACTTGGATCCGTGTGCATCAGGTGCATGGCCTTCTGCTGGATATTGACAGCCCTATTCTGGATGTACTTCGGTCTGTACTACTTCTTCGACAAGTTTGCCGGGGACACGTGTGTCGCCCTGGACGAGTACCAGCTGAACCCTCAGAACAGCACGCTGGGCACCATCATACCCTGCAGCGAGAAGCTCTCCGCTGACGTGATCCTGCACGACGTCGGTGCAGGCATCCATGACATCATTGACCAGGTGAATTCAAACATTTACACGATCAAATCAGAGTACCCGGTGAAGCAGCTGGACTACATCTGCAACCCCTTCACGGGACCGCCGCAGTACCAGTACAGGGCGGAGAACTGCCCCTCCGGCGCCGCCACCATCGGTGACATCCCGCAGGTGAACACAACCGTAGCTACAGTTTCAGATTCCAGAACAAATGTGTATGTATGGTCAATTGTTGCTGATCTTGACATGGCGTTGCCTGCTGTCGTAAAGATCCTGAAGAGGCTGACGTGCTCGGACTTCGGCGGCGGCGCCAACTGCCGCCCGGCCGACCTCTCGTCGGCGATCGACTACGACAAGGTGCAGTCGTACACGAGCTCCATCCAGAACGTGCTGGACATCTTCCCGGGCACGGAGCGGCTGGTGAGCTGTGAGCTGGTGAAGGCCGGCTTCGCGGACATCGTGGGCAACCAGTGCGCCCCGCTGCGACGCGGCGCGCGCGCTGCGTGGGCCGCGCTCGCCGCGCTGTCCGCGTCCATGGTGTTGCTGATTCTGCTCGTGCTCGTGGCGACCAACGCCCGCCACCCAGGCGACGACCGCCTGTCCGTGCGGCACCTCACGTCGTCGACCAACTCGGAGATCTCGGAGGTGGAGTTCGCCGAGATGCACGCCAAGAAAGTGCGGATCTGGGTTGGGCCATGAGCTGACCCGACAAAGCTGACATCGGATTCTTTTTGCTGTTCTTTGCCATTTACAGAGAAGGGAGAGTTGAGGCTAGATACTGCCGGCGGTAGAGACCGATCCGGAAGAGATCGTCCACCACCGGTGCGCCAGTGTTGCTCAGATGTTTGGTTTTGTTCTCTCAGATGGTCTGGAGAATCCAGCCATTGTGTTGGTGCCTTGGTGGTATATAGGAAAAACAATTGGTCCCTGTATATGAAGTATGAACATCAATCTGCAATTGCAAAAGCATTGAAACATAACTGCTGCACAATTTGATCTTTCCATTAACAGTAAAAGGGTCTACAGGTCCATCAATGACCTGTCGCGCAGATATATTCTATTCATTATGCCAAGGATCTAATCTACGCAGGAGTTCGTTAGATTTCGTATTATGCTTTTCACAGCGGCAGGAGTACCTGTGATATGATAAGGCTAGTCTCGGTAGAAAATTTCATTACAGTTTTATCTACATTTATTAATAGGTTGCCACACATAAGCATTTTTTGATGATATGACAATGTTTTTAAGAAAAGAGAGAAGAAATGATTTCATAGAGATGAAGCTCTCTTGGTTTGGTTTTTAGATGAGTCATGAAATTAAATATCTATAAAACAAAAGAATAAAAGTATGTATTGAGAGATTATTTCATCCATATTTTATTGTATTTCGTATTCTTGGAAATAATGCTATGAAATTCTTCATTGAGAATGAACAAAGTAAATAATCGCTTTGCAGGTTTAGAGCAATCCCTCATCCCCACCCTTGACATCGTGTGGATTGGGGGAATCCTCGCTTTCAACCATCACATCGGCCTCAGCGTACGCACAACCACCCTCACGTCTCGCATCATGGTTCTACACGCTGCCATATGTAAAGGTGTAAATGGTACCAATATTTTTCTTACCGGCCATCTAACCAGAGAATTTTAGATACTAAATGTATAAATCATATTTGAATCTAGATATTTAATATCCATACTATATTGAAATATTCAAATTCAATATATATACCGCCGGCGGCAAAAAGAATATAGCCTATTGCCAAGTTGAATTGTTCCCCTACGGATAGTGCCCACAGGCACTTGCCCCACTCATGGAGATATAGGGCCTGTTTGGTTGGTGTCATAGTTTGCCACGCCTCATCTTCGACGAACTTGAAAGCGCTAGTTTGGTTTTGGTGAATTGATGAAATCCTAAGTGCTAACCTAGTTAATCAAGTGATCATGAGATAGTTAGCACATTCTAAGTGGTGAAGCAAATGAAGATCATGATATGATGATGGTGATGCCATGATGATGATCAAGTGCTTGGACTTGAAAAAAAGAAAGAGAAAAACAAAAGGCTCAAGGCAAAGCTATAAATGGTAGGAACCATTTTGTTTTAGCGATCGAGACACTTAGTGAGTGTGATCATATTTAGGATCGATAGTCTTACTATTAAGAGGGGTGAAACTCGTATCGAAATGCGGTTATCAAAGTGCCACTAGATGCTCCAACTCATTGCATATGCATTTAGGATCTAGTGGAGTGCTAACAACCTTAAAAATGTTTGTGAAAATATGCTAACACATGTGCACAAGGTGATACACTTGGTGGTGGTTGACACATTTGAGCAAGGGTTAGGAACTTCACCGGCGGAGTGTCCGCCCGTAGAGTGCAGAAAGTCCGACGGTGCCATCGGCGCCCTATACAGAAAAGACGGAGGTCACTGTAAGTGACCGGACGCTGATCTCAGTAGGACCGGCATGTCCGGTCAATGGTAGCAGTGAGCGTGTGGTGTCGGTCTAATGACCGGACGCTCAGGGCCTGAGTCCGGTCAGTATGACGTATAATGACATATGCAGCGCACAGGGGAGACGTTGTGTGACTGGACGCTGGGTGAGTCTGGTCGAGCATGACCGAACGCGTCCGGTCGTGATTTTTCGCTTCTGGTACCTTACTGGAAACGACCGGACATTGGTGTTCCTGCGTCCGGTCACTTTGAGCAGCGCGTCCGGTCACTACTTAAATGTACTGATGACCGTTGAGATCGGGCGATCAGCGTTTGAAGCCGATGACACGTGGCAAGCATCGGGCGACCGGACGCTGAGGTCCAGCGTCCGGTCAATATGACCGGAGCGTCCGGTCACCCCGAGCAGTGCCCAGTGAAGGGGTACAACAGCTCTATTTCGTGGGGACTTCTATTTAAGCCCCATGGTCGGCTCTAGCTCACTCTCTTGGCCATTAGCATTGACATAGCAACCTTGTGAGTTTAACCAAAGCCCTCCTACTCATCCCCATCATAGATTCAACATCTTTGTGAGATTGGGAGTGAATCCAAGTGCATTGCTTGAGTGTTTGCATCTAGAGGCACTTGGTGTTCGTGTTTTGCTGTGGGATTTGCTTGTTACTCTTGGTGATTGCCGCCACCTAGATGGCTTGGAGCAACGAGGATCGTTGAGCGGAGGTTGGTGATTGTTTCCGGCTCCGATCGTGGTGATTGTGAGGGGTTCTTGACCTTTCCCCGGCGGAGAGCCAAAATATACTCTAGTGAATTACTCGTGGCTTGTGTGATCCTCATCTTGTGTTGGTTGTGCGGCACCCTATTGAGGGTTTGGCGTGTGATGCCAATTAGCGCGTGAATCTCCAAGTGAGTGAATTGCCACAACGAGGACTAGCTTGCCGGCAAGCAAGTGAACCTCGGTAAAAAAATCATTGTGTCATCATTTGATTCCGAAGTGATTGGTCTTCATTGATATTGATTCTTGTGATTGATTGGTTCATTCCTCGACACGACGGTATAACCATCTTACTCTCTCTCTTTATATTACCGCAAACTAGTTGTCAAGCTCTTTAGTGTAGCTAGTTATGAGAGCATGTTAGTTTAGTTAGTGTGACTCTTTAGTTAGTCTTTGAGAGCACACTAACTTAGTGTAGTGACATAGCTATTATGTGGATAGAAATTATATAAACTAGAATTGTGGTAGGTGGCTTGCAATTTTAGTAGGCTAGCGCAACACTTGCTTCGCCTCATAATTGTCTAACCGGTTTGCTAAGTGTTATTGTAGAAATTTTTATTAGGCTATTCACCCCCCCTCTAGCCATTAGGCCCTTTTAGAACTATGGCGAGCAAAATCGAAGCCACATGTAGGACACGTGGACGCCTAAGAGGGGGGGGTGAATTAGGCAACTTAAAAATCTAACTCTAAACTATGGCCTCTTTTTCTACCTCTAGCAAAACCTATGCACAAGATAATCTATCTAGATGATCAACTACGGTTTTGCCAATGTGTTGCTATCTCTACCACAAATGATAATAATATGATCAATGTAAATGCGGAAGCTTAAAGAGCGAGGTAGAGATATGCAAACTCCCGTCGACGACTCCGGTATTTTTACCGAGGTATCGAGAAGCGCGCAAGCTTTCCCCTAGTCCTCGTTGGAGCCCCTCGCAAGGAATCCCTCGCAAGGGCCAAGCTCCCAGTCGGGTAACTCCGTGGATAGCCTCGGGCCTTCCCCACGCGCAAGTGGGTCTTTGATGTGCCTTCCGGCAAGCCTCTCCCGGATGCTCTCTGCCGTCTTCACTATCAAGCTTTCGGCCGAAAAGCCGCGGGCCTTGTTCCCTTCGGTACACGGTGGCGGCCGCACCACAAACGCGGTTGGTGCGATCTCGCAAGACTTCAAGCCCTTCCGATGTACAACTCTTGTGCTCGCAAGCACGGGGTGGCAAGAGGTATGCAAACCTCACTAAACACTAGGCATACACCTAGAGCAAGCGCATAAGCGGTGGTCTAATCAACCTAAGTACTTCACAAAGCACCTACGCTAATCACCTGATGAAACACTAAGCACTTAGCAAGTGGAGATCACTAAAATGGTGTATCAACACCCTTGGTATGTTTCCTCAGCTCCACTATGTTCAAATGGCCGGTTTGGGGTTGTATTTATAAGCCCCATTGAGAAAGTAGCCGTTGGGGTCGAACTCCCGCAAATCTGCTACTGACCGGATGCTGAATCGTCCTGACCGGACGCGTCCGGTCGTCCCGACCGTTGCAACCGCGAACTACCGATCGGACGCTGCCAGTGTCCGGTCGCCTGCCACCGGACGCGTCCGGTCGCAGTTTCGCGCGCCTAGAACCTCTCTGTACTCGATCGGACGCTGCGTTCCTGCGTCCGGTCGGTTGCCGCCAACGTCCGGTCCTTGCGTCCGGTCGCCTATCTGCCGAGCCACCGGTCCAGCGTCCGGTCCAGCGTCCGGTCGCCTCTGCGAGCTCGTTTCTTCGTGATCTTGCGTACGGCTTGGTTCCTATCTTCATGCTTGGACTTTGCTTGATTTCTTGGGTCTTCACTTGTGCTTCTAAAGTCTTGCTTGAGGTGTTGATCATCGGATCATCACGTCACCTTCGTCCAAGTCACGTCTTGCACCCTATTGGACTACAAAACAAACACTTGCAAATTCATTAGTCCAATTTGGTTGTGTTGGTCATCAAACACCAAAATCCAAAGTAAATGGGCCAAGGGTCCATTTTCCTTACAATCTCCCCCTTTTGGGTGATTGATGCCAACATGACCAAAGCAAGCAAATAAAAAAAAATTTAATTTAAAAATTATCTACTTGCTAGGATGCAATGCAAGGGGCAAGGTTTTATGATGCTAAGAGATACTACATGAAAGACTATGATACCAATTGAAGACCTAGCTTGCCCTTGCAAATGTCCCCATGTGATATTATGGATTAAAGCCTATCTTTCTAAAAAAAATTCTCCCATTACATAGACTAATACATAATTCACTTTCCTCCCTTTCTCGGACCATTACCACTTGTAGACATCAACTTGATGCTTGCTTTTGGTCCTTCAAATTCTCCCCCTTTGGCATCAAACACTAAAAAGGAAGACATTAGTAGCACAAGGGAGGGTCAAATTTCATGATCCTTTGTGTATAGAGAGAAATGGATCACAAAATTTGACTCTCGCATTATATAGACTAAGCTCCCCCTAAA